AGGCGGAACGCCAGGGCCCAGTCGCAATTGCGACCGTTGCAATCCTGGTAGTTCCGCCAGTGCTCTCAGGTATAAGCCAGTGGTGACTACTTCCTTCCTTTCCTTCATTCACTCATCCATTGACATTAATCCATCTGGATGTCACAACATTTCTTAAAACTCAATCTGTCAAAAACTGAGCTCTTGATATTTCCTCCTACCTGTGCACCTTCCCCCAACATTTCAGTTGAGCTTGATAACACAACTATCCACCCCTCCTCCAATGCCAAGGTCCTAGGTGTCATCCTTGACTCGGACATCACCTTTCTTCCACACATCCAATCACTATCCAAATCCTGCCGCCTTCACCTTCGTAACATCTCCAAAATACGCCCCTTCCTCACCAATGACACCGCAAAACTACTCATACACTCACTTGTTATCTGTCGTCTTGACTATTGTAACTCCCTCCTTGTGACTGACTGAACCGTCACTGGTGCGGTTGGAGGAGCCTGGGGGCTAGCCTCCTTCCAACTGACTATGGACCCAGAACTATGGAGACCCCCCTCAGACCTCTTGGGGTTACAATTAACCATTGTACTAGGTTTATGTGTGGAGGGATGTACTGTACATGTTCCCTGGCATTACATTTGGATGACCCTGTGTGTATTATAGGTACAGGCTGTGAATCCAGGAGCACTGAAGGGGGATAATTCTGGACATTGAACTGTTACAGTTTATTGGCCCCTTTTGTTGTATTGTGTTGATGATGGGATTAGGATAGCTGATTCTAGGAGTAGCTGACTCCAGGTGTAGATGAGTAAATCACACTATGATACACTCAGGAGATAATCCCATCACATGTGTCTCCTCTCCCCCTATTCATTCATTAAGGCATCGGGGAGGGGGAGTGGATGTTTGCATGCTGTTCATGTTTGATTGCGTTACTAAATGCCTGTGAACTTGTAATGCCTGCATCAGGACTCATTCCCTCCTACATTATCATAAATGCAATTAGTCAGTGAACCATTCCTAGCCCCCTGAAAACATAGATCTGTGTGTGTGTCCCCAGCAGGACCATGCATGCCTTGAATGAGATGCTGCTTCACAGGTTTGTTTCATTCAAATCTAGGGGATGTTTGTGCACGGGCAGCCCAGCTTTAGATTTTTACCAGCTGGATTGCAAATATTAACCCCTTCGTGACGGGAGACGTACAGTGTACGTCTTGTCACTTTGTGCCTATATGACTGGCCACGTACACTGTACGTGACGAGTTATATCAGGCTTTGTAATGCCGGTATTTGCTGATTCTCAGCATTTAACAGTCATTCATTAATGTCTCAGTATTGAGGCATTAATTAATGAAATAATTAAGCTTTTTGTAAAAGCTTCTTCCTTTCATTAATGAAAGAATGAAGCCGTTACATGCAAATAGAGGACCGCAATTTGCGATCCCGTATTTGACAGCTCAAAATAGCAGAGAGGCAGCAGTGACTCACCTCACCTCTCTGCTATTTGTTTTGACAGCTCGAGAGCCCGATGTTTAGATACATTTCACTGAAAGGATACAATGTATATCTTTTGAGTGAAATGTATCATTTCTGATCGTCTAGGCACGATCAAAGAGCTTTTAGTGAGATCTGAATCTGACTAAAGTCAGGATCAGTCTCTAAGGTTATTATTAGCTGTTCCTAAGTTTGGATCAGCCTAATAGCCAAAAATAAAATAAAAAAGTTAATTTATCAAGCTGTCATAGTGATTGCTTGATATAAACTGACAAGAAAAAAAAAAGTTTTTTTATTTTATTATTTTTTTTTACAAAGTGTAAAAAAAATTAAAAAAAAAGTGTAAAACAAAATTAGGAAAATATAAATTATATATAAATATATTTTTTATACTATAATTAATATAAAAAAATTCGAAAAAAAAATAATAATCAAAACTTGTGAAAAAAGTGTTTTTCTTCTAGTTTTTTTCCTAATTTTTTTATTTTATTCAAACTAAGTGAGGGGTTAGGTACACATATGTGATATAATTATATAGCCCTATCTGTCCTCTAAAAAACAATATATAATATGTGTGGGTACATTTAGTAAGAAAGTATATTACTGCTGTGGAAGAATCACACAGCAAAAATTTAAAAAATGTGTCAGTCATTTATGAACAGAACCTGAAAACTAGCTCAGTCATGAAGGGGTTAAGGGAGGCTTCAGCCATCTGAAAATGTAAATACAGACCTGCTAGAGGGGGTAACCAGGCCTAGTATTCAGGGGCAAGGAATGGTGGCTGTGGGTGAGTTTTTTTTTAAACTTGTTCTTGTACTATAAGATATGAGATCTCTTTTGATGGTCGGATCTTAACTGCGTATCTGACCATCATACAAAGTTTTTGGCTAGTTAATATTATGTCAATAGTTAACCCCTTCATGACTGAGGCCCTTTTTTCAATTTTTGCACCCATGTTATATTCCACATTTTAGGCCTGAAAATGACGTAAAACCCCCCAACATTATATATTTTCTGAATGCCAAGACCCTATAGAATAAAATGGTGGTAGTTAGCCGGGAGTCTGTTTAAACAGCCCCGATGCTGGCGACGTACACTGTACGTCGTCAGTCACGAAGGGGTTAAAGTTGTTTGTTTTTTTTGTTAGGGGGACAGGAAAGGAGTTCAACCTATGCCACATATTTATTACTTTCCATATCCTCACACGGAAGGTTCACAGTTTCTTTGTCCTGTTGACCATTGTGAGGAGGACACAAAGTGATGGGAAATCCATCATTTTACACTTGGCACTGGAAGTAGAATCTTTGAGAATTGTTCTATTGAAAAATAAGATGCAATTTCCTCTCACTTTGAAGGTATTTGCCTTAACTTCCAGTTGTGTCTCAAAGACAGTAAGTGAATCAACATCTTACCGACACAGACAGCAAAGGCATCCTGACAGGGCTTTTAACCATTCCCTACGCTATCCAGGACATAAAAATATTATTGAATGTAAATAAACATTAAGATATTTACAAAACAAATAACTTAAAGCATCATCAACTCACAGCAGAGAAGCAGAAAGAGAAGCAGGTTTTAAATTGTTGCTGTTGGACTAAACTTCTGGACTACATACTTTTTTCAGGTATATTCCTCAGAAAGTATTAAAGCCATTGGAACCACATGCCATCCAGGTAGCTAGCATATTGAGAAACAAGTGTCCACAAAAGCAACTTCTATTTTTTCTTAGTGTAGATTTTCTTTAGCAGACTACAGATGACTGTATTTTAAGTACTGAGATAAAAACAGAGCACCCCTTTCATGTGTAGAACATTTATTGAGATTAAAAAGTTGCATTAGTAAATGTACTCACAAACGCCCTAGCAAATGCACCTAGGTTAGTAGCAGCCAGCAAGAGCGTCACACTCGTATTCATGGGAAGTATTCCTCACTAGCAAACATTCAAAAACAGCCACCAGTCACATCCCTGTCTGTACCAGACTCTATGTGCTTAGCCTGATGCTATGGCTTGCCCTGTGAATGCGCTGGATAAAGCTCGAGAGCGGGCCAATCTGGTTGCGGAACCCCGCTGATGTGGCAGTGTCCTATTGGTCCAAGATAGGAGCACCTCAAAGCCTCGCCTCTCAATCACCATCTGAAATCCAAACAGTGCCGTGCTGAACTGGAAATCATGTCCTTTATTCTGCTCATTCATCTAATGGTAGGAAAGCATTATATCACATCAAGTGAAAAAATTATTTGTATGTACAAACAGTGATATAAGTAGGAATGCAAAGATATATCGGCCGCCGAAACATATCGGCCGAAAATTGCAC